TTTCAGACCAGTTTCAGACCACCCGAGAGGACAGTTTGAAACAGACTTAAGCAAACTGAAGCTTTTGCTCTACGTACGTATCATGGAAAGGGGTCATAGATGATGTCAAGTTTGTCATTAAGGGGGCGCGCTCTTTCTCTTTCTCTCTCTCTCTCTCTCTCTCTCTTTCTTTCTCTTTGTGGCAGGGCCCTTCAAATTAGAACTTAATATATACGTATTTAAAAAAACGTGTTTTTTGACAAAAATAGAGTCTAGAAATAACTTATTTTCCGAAAAAATAGAGTCTACTTTCTTGTTTGAGAATATTTCTTAACACAGATAGAAGCCGTACTTGTTTCGGGGTGATGAACAAAGCGCACTGATTCTCATTGTGCAGATTTGCATCCTTAACGGAGTGGGGAATATTCTGGAGAGCTCTTTTGAGCACCAAATTCGAGTCTTTGATTTGCTCGGAGCCTGTTGGAGCTCGCAAAGTGCAGGTCGAAGGTTTTCATCTTTTTTTCGCCGCCAGGAACAGCTGCTGTCCTGTTTGCAAGGGGCTGCCAAGGCCGACCGACACTCGTGGAGAGGTGACACCTAAAAGTCAGGCGGTGGGAACCGGTCGAGATTTGCGTTTACCTCAAACACCACAAAAATCAATGAAGTGAGTGTGGCTTCCTGTTAGGGTCTTTCTTTTGCTTGAGCCATACCCAAATGGCTGTATTTGTTTGTCTCATATCACTTCAGCGTTGAAAGCCACCTTCCGTTCATGAACCTCCATCCAAGTCCAGTCCAAATGAAACGAGTCCACAAACCCATGAAAACATCTTGGATTCAGGCGTTAGTCATGTTACGTCATTCTTTTGCTTTTTACCAACAATCAGGGGGTTGGAAGGCTTCAGATGCTTGACGCGCTAGATTCGATGATGGACCCAGCATGCAAGTCCATCCACTATCATCCACTCATATATTGATCGAATGATGGAATGCACATGAATGAACTCTTAAGCAGAGTGGTGATCTACTTGTACGTGTTGCCACATTGTTCTCCCATCTCCCTCATTTAGGTGGATCGTTTGAACAAAAGATTAACAAAAGCATCATGGTGCTCAAACATGTTTGCCTCTCAGGCCTGCCTTCATTTGCAAACTCCCTAGGGAGTTGCAGATGAAAAAACATGGAGCCAGGCCCAAAAGAATAGATTATTGACTTTAGTGCCGAGCAACACGTGAGCCGGCTCAGCTGGATGGATCAAGCCATAAAGTGGATCTCGGTCCTTTCTCAGGGGCTGCAGACTAATTTTTGGGGATTGGGTTGCCCTGTCCACTGCCAGCACTTCTCCACCAGCTCTTTCTTGCTGATCTTCTTGGTGGGGTGGCTTCTGGGGACCCTCAGCCTTGCCTCCTACTTGGGCTTGATTCCTCCACTTGTTCCTGACCATCGCCTGGTCAGGAATCCTCCTCCGGCCGCTTCAGGCCCGGCTGCCGAAAGGCTTCACCTCTATTTGTATGAGCGGGGCCTCCGACGACGAGAACACTGGGCTTTCTGTTCGAGTTGGTCCTCTTCGCCTTGTGGTCTCCAGACCTTTATCCTTGCTCTTGCCGCCGTTCAGGCGGTTACCTCTTGGCATCATCGCTTCCAATCTGCTCCTCGTGATCCATCGCCGGCTCCTTCCGATCATTTCTCTCTGGCTTCTGCCGTGCCGGCTCCTTCTACTTCTGTGGGGAGGCCTTCTACGAGCCCTTTGGAAACCCGCCGGGAGATTGAGAACTCTTTCCCTCCTGTGCCTTCTGATTCTGGTCTTCCAGTGGACTCAGGAGGAACTTCACTGAGGGGGAGACCTTGTCCCATTCGTTTCCATCACAGGCGGAGGCTCATGTGTATTGTCAGGCAGACGTCGCTTACCCTGCAGATCCAGCCGTGATGGCGGAGCTTGCCGAGGAAGCAATCGAGATGGAAGAGGAGGAGGGATTCATGTCTTTCGATCAGCTGATCCCGTATGTCATTGCATGGCCCACCGATCTACACCCTGGCACTTCCTTCGAGACGATGTTCTTGGTGGTTCTCAAAAGGGCAGGAGGTTTGATCGGTGCAATCCCTTTGGGCGTGATCTCCGAGGAGGAGATTCGATTGGGCATGTCAGAGACCTCAGCTCATGCTATGTTGGGGGCTTCTACCGCTATAATGGTGCCTGGTGTGCACAAGATCGAAATGGCAGCTTGGAGCTTTCTGGCACCGAGGTGGCTCTTTAGGTACTTCACAGCTCAGGTTGCCGATCTTATGAGGCTCATGGTTCCCGACAAGCCGGTGTTCGCTTTTGTGTCCGACCAGCCATCCATCTTCCCGAAGGCTGAGGATCTTGTTTCTCAGGTCTTGGAGTGGGCTCGCAGCCCAAGGCCTGGCAAACCAGAAGGGCCTTATCCTTGATTCCTTTACCTCGTTGAGTATTTGTATGATCAACTCCGGTAAAAGAAGATCCAACTGACCTGTAGGGTAGTGCGGGGGCGGAGTGTTCCAGGTTCGCCCAGCAATCGATCCACTCCAACAGTACCCAGACCAACGAAGCACAGCAACAGCTGCATGCTCCAACCAGATTGGGAACATGACGCTGTTGTGTTTATTTATACGATATCGCTTACAAAGCCAGCCAAAAGGCAAAAACATGTGCATATTTGTTGGAAGACCCAGGTATGACACGACCCGAAACCGGCTCTGAACTTAATCCGGAGTGGTCCAAGCAGTCGAAGCGGTCAACCGGTTCTTATTGAATATTATTGACACTTTCCTCAGACCATTTTTGATGGCCTCTACCAGCTAGAATGCTACGCCAGCTGGCGCTCAGAAGTGCAAAAAGATGTTTTTACCAACGGCACGGAAACCGCTGCACTTTGACCCCTTCATCTCCACAGGCCTTGAGCATTGCCCAGGGCCAGGAGCATCGGAGCAACTATCGGGATGAGGCAGGGACGAACCCGTCCAGTCTATGTTCAAAACAGATGAGGGCAAAGGCCGTGAAGAGAAGCCCTCCACGTGCAGTGTTCATTGTTGTTTCGGTTCGACGGACATATGATCGATGTCCATCGATTTGGAGCACCGGGTCACGGGTTCTGGTACTCGTATTGGTTCTTCAAACTCAGAAAGATGTTTGCAATAAACACAACAATTCCGTCAGATGACTCACCTCTTTGGTCAGCTGATCGCCACCTGGGTCGATGGGTTGGTTTGTTCAGGCGTCCTACCTGCGGGAGGAGGCGGTGAAACTCATTGCTGCGGTCGCTGGACAGAAATCCTCTCGAAACTGGGTTCTGATCAAATGGACTACAGAGCCAAGGGATGTTCATTCTGTAGAGTCACATTGTAGTTTCCTTTTTGTTCATTTGCTCTTACAGTGCAAGTCGAAGTTACTTTGAGAAGACTCTTGACCCTTTGTCGTCTGTTTGACCAAAGGATCACCAAACTTATTTTTGAATTTCAGGATGCTAGGGACTTTTGTCCCACTTCAGCGGAAGACTCCCGACCGCCTCGTTCGCCTCGTTGCGAAGCGACAGCTCCTCCATGGCGCACGTCGGACGTCGCCACAGCCGAGTCAGCGCACGGACGTCCCCCAGGCTTCACGTTTTGAAGTGTTGCGACGACAGATGTCTAGAAGAACATAACACTGGGACAGACATGGAACAAATCGTACATGAAACAAAACTGTTCTTTGACTTCTATAAATCATTATTGTCAAACATGTTGTGTCCAAAGTGTTGCTTGCTGACGTTACGCTGGGATTTCGGACTCCATGGTTCCACACTGGAACCAACAAGTGGAATCCACCCAAAGACTACCACTCTCCATCATGATAGCATGTTGAGTTTCCTAGTCCATGAAGATGAACATTTGGAGAATTCACACAAATCCGACATGCGAATCCAAGCAGCTGAGATTCTTTTTGGAGAAATAACATGAACGCATCCACTCCCACCCTGCCACTCCACCCTGAATTTGGCGAGAAACACCGCCCCGTTCCGGTGGCTCCGACGTCGCCGTCCCAGGTTTGCATCACCTGCCCGGACTTCCGTCTTCATTTAGGAGACTGCAAGGCCCAAGTGCAGTGGCAGGGAATTCTTTGGGGAAATTCAAGCGTGATCCCCCTGAACGGAATGGACGGTTTTTTGTTGAATATGCTTTAATTCTATGATTAATCATTTGTGTGTTCCATGGGGGGAACTTGTTAGCTAAGGGTTTATGTTGCTTTTTATGTGTGAATGGTTGGGGTGGGACATGTTTCCTGCACGATTCAGTTACTATCTTCTAACGGATGTGTTTGGTCGGAGTGGCACCAATCAGCAATTTCGAAAAACAAAGTCCTTTGAGTCCTCCTTTTCCCAGAAAAACAAAAGACAAAACGATGTGACACACACAAGGTCGCTGCACACCGACCGCCCAAAACCGACCGATGCACTCGGCACATCTCGGCACCAGGCCTCCGATGCCGAGGTTCCCTTTCGGTCCTCGAGCGCAAAGAAGCCATGCGAGGAGGGATGAAGCCATGCAAGGCTCACCCACACCGACCCGCGGCTTGTGCACAAACCCGTCCTCGGCCCAGGTGCCCTTGGCACAAGCCCTGGAGGCGGCCGTGGACCGATTGCAGGCGAGAAAGGGTGGGTTCCTTGTTTGGGGGAGACCGACACGGAAAGTTTGGGCAAAGCAATGATAAAGGTATCGATATGAAGGTTATTCTTTTCAGGTGGGGCAAAGCCAAGCGGAAGCCGGTATAAAAAAACCATCAGGGCATCGCAGAATCACAAGCCTTTTGACGGAGATCACAAGGCCTGCGACCCGTGCCGTGTAATAAGGAGGTGACCTCAAACAGGGAGTGAGCGTGGGCGAGACAACAACATCATACCCTGTGGATCGCCCTCTTAGAAGGTGAGTCTTTGATGTAGTACCTTGTGAGAAGGTATGTGGATCCCGTGGATCCCTATATGGGCTTCGAAGCAATCGAAAACAATCCAAAGAGCTTGGACTCGAAGAAGAAGAAGAAGAAGAAGAAGAAGCTGCGACGGGGTAACCAAGAATTCCCAATTCGACGTCCGTCCGCTGCAAAGCAGCGGGAAACAGGGATGCCTTAAGAGTTGATGGCTCAATGAGTCGAGATGAGAAGACCACATGTGGCGAGTCTGAGTCGACCAAGCTGCTGCGAGCCGTCTAGCATAGCGCATACCGCATAGCCATTTGCCAAGGCTCATATCGCAAGATGCTGAATATTGATATGTTGATGCCCTTCTGTTCACAGATGGATAGCGGCTTGGAAACAGTATGAAACAGTACTTCAGAGAGCACCAGAGGGACCAGAGATATTTTGTCTCATTACAGCATGTTCTATCCTTTTCAAGTAATATAGATGAAATGGTGTCCTTCTATCCATTTCTGTCCTGTCTTTAAACCATTTCTATCCATTTGTTCACGACTTCTTTGGAACATTTACCATGATTGGATCTGACTGCAGGATGATCCTGAACGGCTGGCCGAAGAAGTTGAGGCGCGTGCTGGCGCGATGCTTTTTCTTCGATGAGAAGCGTTGATCAAAGGCGCACATATTCCCAAAACCTATGAGATCCGAATCATTCTAAGAATATCCCATCTGAGATCATATCATATGATATCCTATGATATTATCATATGATATGATCTCATCATTCAGAATCCTTGCTAAGTGGGTCTCAGGGTGCGTCTCGTGGCTTTGGAGTCTATGAGTCGGGATTCATCCCACTTTGAGCACCAAGCATGCCAAGCATGCGATCATGTTCCTTGGATTCTGGGTGTTGGGATCCTTGGATTCGACTATCTTCGACCAAGCAGGCCTGCATTGGATGTTTCGTCGAAGCAGGGCTTCCCCCTTTGAGGTCCCATCCAGTGGGGGCTTTGATTCGTGTAATTGATGGCACGGCCACAGGCCATGAGTCTCCGCTTGCCACCTCCTAAAACTATTGTTGCAGGTGCAGGTTACAAGGAAGACAGGAAAACGGTTGTCCTGGTGAAGACATGTGAAGACCACACATTCAAAACATCAACTTCCCACCATGCGCTGTTGCTTGACCTGTTTGTGCATGCTGTGACAACCATGTGTTCAATATTTGTCAGGGTTCGTGCTGACCTGGAAGTATGGCAGAACTTCCAGGGAATACAAACGCAGCTGGCGGTTCTGTCTATCCTGTATGACTCATGTATGACTCTGGATGTTTCAGTGGGTTTGCATTCATCGAATGTGCATGTGGCTAAGGGCCAAAGACCATCCATAAACTGCGTACGTTTTGAACATGATGTGATGTTGCTTGAGACATGTATACGGATTCAATATATATATATATGTGTGTATTGTGCCATCACATCGCATGTACCTGCAATCTTGTGCAAGCTTCTATAATGTCAGACCATGCGTCTCCAACCATTCCAGGGATCGAAGCTATATTTGGAAACTTACCATGGCGCCTCCAACGAGAGAAATGGCGTCGGCGACAACTGAAGCGTCTTCCCATGGCGCTGCAACGACACGCAACGACAAGAGCCTGCAGGTGTTGCAGCACAACTTGATCGCTTTGGTCTACATTAGTGGTCCAGAAGAAATCCTGGTGCGATGCTTACAAAGATGGGGCGGGGGGCCCTGGACCACTCGCGGGGGTGACTCTCTACTTCGGCTGCTTCGGGCCTATGATGGGTAAAAGCATGTAACATCATGTAACAACTGGTGTGTGACTTTAGCTCGGGTTGCTGGCAACCCACCTGTGGTCAGAGCACTCATTCCCCAGTGTGTCACCCTCGTTCTTCGTTCCACATCTTCCACATCGGATCTCCCATCTCACCAACCCCATTGGGGTTTGCCAAGGGGGACCAGTTGGATACGCTCCAATTCCAGACCGGCGTCGGTTGACCGGATGTGTCGACCGGTCCATGAGCCGAAGGACACCGCCGCGCGCCGCTCGGGCCCGCTCGGCCCGGCCTCGAGGCCCAACTCGTTTTGGTTTGGATCATGGTTCCAAGCAGCAAACAGTCGCTCATGTGCATGAGAGTGTAGTGCGGAGTTGGCAGTTATGAAGCAAGACGCCAGATGGCGCGATCTCGAGTTCCCTGCAGAACGAGATGGGTCCGGACAAGAAATTGGTACCTTTAAAGCATGATGCCTTTCGTATCATTTGCGATGAAGCATGTGCTTTAAAGAATTTTAAAACGAGACTCCCTCAAATCGGCGTGCTCTATGGCCCTATACTTATATTGATACTAATAATATCCATTATTGCAATTGGTTGCAGAAGGAGATCGGGTTTGTTTCCTTAAGTCTCACCCCAAATCGGGGGTGCTTTGTGGAACCTTCTGGAAGATGGGAGGCAGACTCCCATCAGCTGGACTCCAGCTCGGTTCCCAGCAGCTCGCCCCGGCCAAGGAGCAAAGTCCTCCCTGGTTCGTGCCTGTGCCGACGTGGTACGCCGGACTGGAAAGAGACGGGAGCGGGGCCGCGGTGGAAGGGTCCACGGCGGTGGACTGGGCGGGTCGACGGTGGCGGAAGGATCCGGAAGGGGTGGGGATCAAAGATTTTTAGACTTTCGCCTAATACTCGTATATGATGTACACTTAATCTCACAACTTTCGGAGGTCGAAAACAACCGACCTCTATTGATCTTTATACCCAAAGGGATTCTAGGCATCTCTAGGCATTAGGTGTCGCAAAAGGTACTGGCCTCGTAAAGCGAACACCCATCTCTTCACTCTAAGTCTGGCCAGTCTCTATCTCTTAGAGCTGAGACTGATCGAAGGCTGGTGCGCCTACCCTGGATGGACCGCAGTCGACCGAATATAAAGAGAGCTGTACATGAGTTTTCATACTTTACACGCTTGGCACAACAAGCGTGGACACCGTGTTTTGCATGAACCAGGACAGTCGCGGTATCACCTTGCTTCGCGGCCTTCGATTCGTGGCCTTCGGACGAAAATCTCGGCGTGGAACGGCGCTTCGTCGCGCCCCTGCGTCGCCGTTCGCCGTGTTCTTTTCAGCCGCCTCTTTCGCCGTGTTCAGGTCGCCGAATTGGTGCGACGGAATGCACCCATGTGTGAGGCCAGGGCAGTGGGAGAAACGAAAACAGTTAACGGAATTGGAGGCTCACAACGGCTCGTTCGGCTCACAGCTGATTCGGCATGCTGACAGGATGACATCCCCAGGTCATCCCAAGTGGAGGAAATAACAAAGCACTCCACACTTTTTGTGCCCGACTTGTCGTGCGGTGGGCCATTGACCATCCAAATGAGTGTTTGGAGATCCTTCAGTTTAAACCCAATGGATCCATATGGATCCCAATGAATGGTCCTAGTGTTTTTGTCCATCGAAATCCATCGAAATCGAGCATCCGATGGGTCGCAGGGGTCAACAAACAGGATGGACTTGTTGAAGGAATCTGTTCCGGGATGCGACGCTCCACAGTAAAGATGAACATTTGGACATGACATGTAAGATGATGCAAAAGCATGCGGAAGGTCTCAACATTGGGCCTAAACTTGACAGTGTAATGCCTGTAGTAGGCCTAGTGTTAGATAGGATGTTTCATAGATAATTACATTTATCGCATCTATACAGGTTTGCCTTAACATTCCGTGCCTCTTATTGGATATCCCCTCTTGAGAGACCCATCTTCACATCCTTCTCCCTCCAGGAGATGCAACGGGGGCCCGTGAACGCGGAACTCGCAGCCGCAGTCCAGGCTGGAGCAACTGGAAAATCATGTTCCAGAATCTTGCGGGAGCAGTTTTTTGGGAGTCATGTTCATGTGCAGGGAAGAATCATCCTCAAAAAAGAGACACACAACATTTACTAAAACAGCATAACCAAATGTTAAAAAGCAACAACAATCAATAAAAGATAATAAAGGCAAGCACCACATGTTCCCCGGACTTCTTCAGAAGGACGATGTCGAGCGCAGGCGCACAAGGACGATGTCGAGTTGCAATCCTGTGCGGGGACCCACCGCTACGGGGTTGGAGACTGGAAAGATTTCGCCATGCGGCCTTTAGGACCTTTCAAACGGGGTAGAGCAATCCATAGCAATCCCAGTCAAGGTTAGTGGCAGATGGGTGGCAGATGAGTTGAAATGCCTGCCATGGGCTGTAGGGGTGGGGATAAGTTGGTTTCTTGCATGGCCTCAGAGGCGTTGCGTCTAGGACTGCTGACTTATAGTAGACCGGTGGCCCGGACGTCAGAGTCCAAAGATGTGAGGGTCGGTACTGGCACGGGAAGGGATGTACTGGAGCGGTCAGGATGGACACTTCTACCAAGGCCTTGGTTACACTTCCGAAGGTCGCAGCGTTTCCCATACTTTTTCCACCTAAAACGGTGGTGAAGCCACATACCCAAAACAAGATGCTCAGAGCAACACCGCATGACCACCACATCACAACCACATCAAGGCCTTCGAAAAGACCGCTGTTACCCAGGGAAAAAAGGAACACCGACCTACTAGTAGCTTCTTGCTCCTAGTAGCCCATGCCCTTGTTACGTTCCTAGCTTCTTGTTCCTAGCAGTCATGCCAGGAGTGCCCCGTTCGTAGCTTCTACCCACGTCACGCAGGTTTCGAGCTCGCCTTGGGCTTCCTGCGACCGCCAAAGACGCTGTGACGCGAGTCGCGTTCGCCGAGTAGCCCAGGCAGTAGCCCAGGCAGTAAGGAAGGAACCTTACTCAATTGAGTGAGACTGTATGTAGAGGTCATAAGTGGACAAAAATTGTCATAATGAGCGAACATAGACATTTGGTGAAACATAATTACTTAATCAATCTTATGCATATAGATTTATGATCGAACCACTGGGTCGCGAATTGAGTGCCGTGGTGTCGACTGGTGAAGCCTCCATGCCCCACTGGGGTTAAACTGGAAAAAGTTGACCATGCAATCGTTTGGAACTAGACTATTGCAGTGGCAAATCAGTTGAGTGGTAACGAGTGGTATTGTTAATTATGCTGTATGCTGGTTCTAAGTCGATGCAGCTCACGTGTCAGCTTTAGCTAAGTCCAAGCGGCTCAGTTCCTTTCGTTCTTAGTTTGAATTGATTCTCGTAAGCGCCATCAGATTCTGCGGCAAAGGATCCGCAAAAGATTAGAGATTTATTTGCTGGCCGAGCCTTGTTCTTATCCAAGAGGGCACTTGTCAAGTGCACACATACGCACAAATATCATGTACATCACTGCATAGGTCTTCCACCAACCCAGTGCCAAAGGGTTTCTTCATTTACATGTATGTCATATGACTGTATCTATACCAGAGTCCGACACGCAGATGATAGAAGCAGGTTCCACCAGCTTTGTCGGATGATTTCAGATTATACTCTTTGGACATTTTGAGTATTTGTGCCTTCATTTCAGAGTTGATGGCACATCAACAAGTAGGACCCATTAAAATCACCCAAGAGAGATCAAGAGAGTGTTGTACACTCTGAAATCACTATGAAGAAACCCTTTGGCCTCAAGTCTGACTAAGGAAGCATACACTATATCGCTGTGTCCACACATTGAGTGGCTTATACATTCAATGCAGTGTTACTGTAGTATCACAAAACCATTGGGCACTTTGAAGAGTTCGTACATATCTCGGTTGCAACCTGCAGTGAAGTACCCTGTAAATCACACCACCTTGCTTCCATCACTACAAAGTGGCTCTGCCCTCGCTACACGTCAACGTGATTTTAATGCGTGTGGCCATGCCTTCGCCATGGGCTCCCGAATTGGCCTAACAGTGGCGCTTGCTGAGTTGCTATCTCCCAATGCATCAACAGCCTTCAGAGAACAAACACGAACAAACACAATGTACAGCAACATCAACATATATTAAGTATATATTAAGTGTGTATATATACACACACACTTGACAGTGTAGCCCTGAGAAAATAAGTTGTCCATGTGTTCCATTCAATTATGATATCAGAGGATAAGCCTGCGGAGACGTAGTGCAGCGTTTGGTGGTCTTTTTTTGCTTCTTTAAAGGTTTGCGTGTCTCCGTTCCGACACAAACCCATACGATGGTTTGATTTTGCTGCGTTCCAGGTGAGTCCGTGGAAGTTTGCGGAAGTTTGCGGAAGCTTTGAGTCATGAGAGTTTGCTGCAAAGTTTGCTGGATAGCGATCCATCACAAAGTCTGACGTGGCTGAGACAAGATTTATTTGATCACAGGTTCATAATTTCCTCGTGTTTGTCTCAAGCTAGGAACCCCCCTAAAGGCACCTGTGAACCTCTTATATTATAAGCACCCGCTTGAACGGGTGCCTTAGGGCCTTGCTACAAGCAATGCTGGCTTGTTTCATTCAGCTCATTTGTTGCTGCAAGCAGAGCCGCGGCCAATGACCAAGCCTCGGAGCCAGCTTCGCCGCTTCGCCTCGTTTGAGCTTGGCTTTTGCTCCAAGAAGGGGCCGTTGGCGGGTGCACAAAAAAGGCGCCGGTTTTGGGTGGGGAACCTGCATGGTATTTTCTGTGCCAATTGAGGTGGGAACAGAAGGGGTAGGTGGCCGGTGGCCGTTACCTCAATATATGTGAGGTGTTGGTTATTGTTCCATTGTATACCACGATTTAGATGAGCTGGCTGGGCACAAGATTAGTTATATCATATTCACAGTTGGAGAACCTTCACACCAGCATCCACTGCATCCACGGATATCCACCGATGGCGGTTGTTGATCTCGAGTTCTGTCCTTACCGTATGAGCCTGTTTCAAAAGGTTTAATCCGAAGCTTCAATCCAATAACCTCTCAGACGCAGTAGCAGTAAGACAGCCCTGTAAGACAACATTATATTGTGCTCGCCGGTGCTGGAATACCTGCCGTCCCCAACTACTCACTTGCTACTGGCTTTCAACACATTCACCAACACCTGCTGGTTTACCATGCTGTCATTGTTGCATGTGTCAGAACAAGATACAAGGAAGGCTTTCTTGATGCCTTTTGTTCAACAAAGCAAGCGAGGCCCCGCCTTCAACAAACAACGAAAGATGCACTGCTGTTGAGAGACATCCTTTACTTCAAAGCTTTGTGAGTCTTTGTTGGGTGTATTGAATGGGCATCCCCTCAGGCGGCTCAGTGTCAGTCTCCCCTTTGACTGCCGACCGACCATCACAAGCCTCACTGGCTTAGCAGGGGTAATAACATGGAGCATAGACTGACTGGCAGATACGCGACAAATCCACGGAAAAGTCAGTGTTATTGCTTTTGCCAAGAGCAATGATACATATATATATATATATACACACCCCAACCGCATGCTAACTCACCCAACTCTGGAGTCTAGGAGCCTAGTAGCCTAGTGTCTCTTGTATCAATTGGGAGTCAAACCTGAATTCTTCGGAGCACCCAACTTCGTGTCACGACTTCAACACAAACTTGTTGAGACCAATTGCGCGTTCACAGCGACGGTGAGTCCTGGATCTGGAGGATGCTGGGGGCTCCCAGGTGGCAGAGATACCTGGAAAAACGGCTTTTTGGTTTGTCACCTGTGTCATCCAGAGCAGAGGCTGAACAATAGCTTTGAACAGTTTGTGCAGCTGAACCTGCGATTGCCTAGAGTTTCTGGTGTACTTTCCCTGACTGGAAGTCCTGGTTTGGGGTTGAATGGTTTTTTCTGGATTTGAGAGTGCAGACTGTAGATCCTGCAATAGAGGTTCCAAGCATTTCTAGGGTAGGGAAGAATATTTTTGGTACTTGTTCATTGAAGGTCCCTGAAGCAAATGGAAGAAACGTCAGCTTCACAGATTCCCACTGAAAACCTGTAGCTTTCAGCACGTTTCATCGATTGATTGAAGACATCCCCATCGTTGTACAAACTAGTAGATAGGACAATATTGATATTTGTTGTCCCATCCCATTTGATAAGATTTGATAAGATATTCAGGTCGCTTCGCGAGGAAAACCACCAGCACCGTTTGCTTCGAGAGAGCGAGCGTGTGGAAAGGCAATTCATGTCCAAGCCAACACCTCAGATGATGCGTAACTGAATGAGCAGAACTACAATAAACTATACAGTATGCATGGTGACCTAGAGATGACAAGCACCATGCAGTGGAATGAATGAAAGAAGTACAGTATGGCATTATTTTTGACCCACCTGCGACTACATTGTAGGTCGACCGGCAAGCCCAAGCAATTAATTAAGGAGGTCAGCAATGCTTTGCACGCGTGCCGCGAACGACATGCGGCGTTGCTGAGGTCAAAAGCACTGAAGCTCAGCTTCAGTCGGCTTTTCCCCTCTAGAGAACTGTGCAGTAAAGTCCATCAAGGGCTGCAGCTCCTTATGGAGATGCTGCGAGCTACCTGGTCGTGCCACGAAAAGGCGAGGCGGCGCTGGTCTACTAAACCATGTTCTAAATCTGTCGCCTGCGTGGGTATGCCAGCTGCAATTTCTGCGGCAACCATAACCTGCCGAGGCAAGTGCACAGGCGCGCAATCCAACTGCGCAGTGGCCTTTCTTTTTTTGGTAAAGCTTTATTTAGCACGTTGGAGATGGCTTCAAAGACTTCAAGCTCGTTTGCAGCTGGTGCCCATTGCAGCAATGCCTGCTGCGGGCGTGGGCGCAAAGCCTCCCTTGGATATCTGCCACATTACATATCACGCTGATATGTCCAAGCTCTTCGCACTTCTGCTTCAGCGCTAGGTTCCATGGTGTACCGACACTGTGGTTTCATCTGGGTTGAAAAGGACCGGCCCCTTGCGGCTGTACTGAAGAACTAAAAAGCGCACTATCCGCCAGGCCCCCAAAAACAAAACATACCGCCGGCCAAAGGGTGCGAGCCTTGTTGGACCAGATTCCGGGCCTGAAAAAAGCACACGCACGCAAACATTGGAAGAGGTCTGAATAGCCTTCTGCTTCATAGTCGCAGGATCTTTGCGTGCCGCAGGACCTTGCGGCATTTCTGCATGTAGACTTGTTGGCGGAGCGTCGCCGTGGCAAGCCAGTGTCCAGCTTGTGCCTATGCAGGGCCTGCAGAACTTGCCAATAGTGCCCCAGAGCCAGGAGCGATACCATGAACACGTTGCATTGGCGCAAACCCTGCGGTGTTTGAGCTGCTGCTACGAAAGCGCAAGCTTGTTGCGATGCTGTGTCGTCCAGGGTTGCCCGGTCTTCCACATGCAGGGGTCCTCAACAACATTACTATAGTAGGGTATCCAACTGCATGTGGATCCTTGATAGTGCTCAACAGTAACACGCAAGCTATGCAGAGAGCTCAGTCCATATCAGCGCCTTGTGGTTCTGCAGCCACGCTGCCTGCAATCTCAACACCTGCGCTTAAGGTACTTCTGCCGCCATTGCGTCCGGTGGTTGCGTGACATGTGATGCAAGTTCATGACATGTAATAGAAACAGTTCTACAGAGCCTACTCCAATTGCTCTGCATCGCATTCATGAAGCAAAAGCATCCGATAGTGGTGAAAAGCTTTGTGTGTCCTGCGCTGCGTCACGGGGCCTGCAGATCGAGCTGCGCTTCCGCTGCAGGCGCAAAAGACTACCTAGACTAGCGCCAACACAGCAGTGGGGCCATGCCTTTTGCAATGGCACGCGTCTTCCATAGTGCGGCGCAGTTAGACTTCACAGTATATGGGAAATAAGAAATTTGCAGGCATTGGTTGAAGGATGGACCGATGGACCCCCTGAAAATGCACAATTTCAATGATGTCCCAAAAAATTTAGTCACTACAAAA